TGCCGAGCGCTTCAAGCAGCGGCGCATCAAGCTGGGAGTGACGCAGGCCGACGTGGGGTCGGCACTGGCCAACCTCAAGATCCCGGGCGTGGGCTCGCTCAGCCAGAGCACCATCTGCAGGTTCGAGTCGCTCACGCTCTCGCACAACAACATGATTGCGCTCAAGCCCATCCTGCAGGCGTGGCTGGAGGAGGCCGAGGGCGCGCAGCGCGAGAAAATGAACAAGCCCGAGCTCTTCAACGGCGGCGAGAAGAAGCGCAAGCGGACTTCCATCGCTGCGCCCGAGAAGCGCTCCCTCGAGGCCTACTTCGCTGTACAACCCCGGCCCTCGTCCGAGAAGATTGCCGCCATCGCTGAGAAACTGGACCTCAAAAAGAACGTGGTGCGGGTGTGGTTTTGCAACCAGAGACAGAAGCAGAAGCGGATGAAATTCTCCGCCACTTACTGAGGGGGGTGGGAGGTGCTAGTCGGGGCAGAGTGGGGAGCTGAGGGGGCAGGGCGGGGGCTTGCCTCTGGCCAGCTTCCCCTTGGGTTTGGAGTGTCCGCCAGCCTGCTTGCATCGGGGGATGCCTCCTCCTGCTCTTTCCTCTGCCCCCTCTCTGGCTCTCCCTGCCTTTACTGTTCCCCAGCCTAGAGGACCTGGGTGCTGGGTGTATGGGGAAAGGAGAGGATGGTGGGGGAGCAGGGGGAGCATTCAGGTGAGCAGGATGTGGAAGGAAGAAAAGCAAAGACTGGAGCAGAGATTTTGAGGAGCAGGATGGTTCTGGGGGCTAGGGTGGGGGGAGATGTGGGAAGGGTAGGGAGATGGATGTTTTTGACCAGAGACACTTATCAAAATCTGGGGACCAAGGAACTATGTACAGAAACAAACCTACCAACCACCAAAAACTAGACAAATAAAGACAAACTAAAACAAGAACAAAAGCAAAGAAAGATGCTTTAGAAATTTAACCCGGGGAGCCAATCTGCAGCTTCATTTCCCCCAAGAAAGAGAACACAGAGCACCACCATTCTTACCACTGCCCCAACCCTACACAGGAACTGAGTCTAAAACGAAAAACCAAACGAACTAGAAGGTGAAGTGAAATTCTGGGTCGTGAAACTAGTTGTTCTGTCTGCGGGTTTAATTTAATTTTACCTTCTAGTTCACCTCCACCCCATTCATGTCCTCTTTGATTTATTTCCTCTATTCCAATGAGACTCCAGTGGTAGCTCTCCCAGAGCTGGGGAGTGAGCTGGGCACAGCTGAAAGGGGAGGCAGTTAGCAAGCCTGCTGCTGCTTTAGGTGGAATTCAAGTTTTCCAGTGTCTGCCACAGACTCCAGGTTTGGTCAGAGGGTGTTGAGAGAGAGAAAGAGAGAGAGAGAGAGAGAGAGAGAGAGTCCTTGAGTTGACTAAAAGACCAAATTTTAGAATGTGAAATAAATATTTTATTCTATGGAAATAAAACCATTTTAACAATTTTTTTTCTTTCCACTTTTGCTTTTTTATCTAAGATCTAGAAAACAGACTGTTTTAAAATAAACTTCCTTAGAGAACTTTACTTTAGCTTGCCCTTTTTTTTTCAGGGTGTGATTTATTTTAAACTATCTGCTGAATTCCACTCCCCCCCATTGATTTAAATAGGCTAATGGGATAGAAGATATGAGAGATATTCCTGTTTTCCCCACTGAACAAGATTCATTTTGCCTTTGTAGGTTCCCTTTCCTCCTCTCTTGGACAACATGAAATTACTGAAATGGTGAGAAGTTTCTGCTTTCAGGCAGACTTGGCTGTGAGAAAATCACCTAAATTCCAGAAGAGAGGAAGACAGATTTAAAGTCCCTCCCCCCTATTTGTATCAAAGAGGTCTGCATGTTGGGGGAGGGGCAGAACAACTGTGTTTCTTTATTATTATTATTAATATTAATATTATTATTAAAGAGTCATTTATTACTGGGGATAAATGTTGGGTAGCAATAACTTTAATTTGCGCTATCAGTCTCCCAAATAGAAAATCATATATAGTATTTCATAGTAATAATCAAGGTACCTTACCAGCTGCTGATGGATTTTTTTTTTTTTTTAATGAAAAAGACAGTTGAAGGTGGTTCGGTAAAATGCCTGCTTTGTGTACAAGATGCTCTTTGGATCTCATGAAGAGATGATTAACATCCTTCAATCATAACTTAAAAAATTGAAAAGAGAATAAGAAAAAAAACCCTGCTGTTTCACAAGACTAAAATCATGCATGATTTGAGAGGTGCAGAAAGCAACACAATTAGGTCTCACTCTGGTTAGGCATTATTTATTTAATTACGTTGTATATCATTGTTTGCAGCGCAAACATTCTATGCATTTGAAACTGAGCACTAAACTGGGCTAGTTTTCTGATAGACCGTTTTGTGGATAGTGTGATTTCACAGTCTACTGCCTGTTTCCACCGAAAACACAACATTCTTGTCATATTCTTGTATTTAGGGGAAAAGGAAAAGATTATTGTAAATATTTTATTTAATGCACACACTCACACAGTTGTTACCAACTGCCAGTGTTAATCCTGAAAATGTCTCACGGATTGATCTACCTGTCCATGTATGTCTGCTGGGCTTTCTCCTTGGTTATGTCTTTGCTCTATTACTTTCTCTCTCCCCCACTCCTATCAGAACCATTTCTGTGCGCCAAAATACAATAGGGGGATGTGTCCCAGTACACTTACAAATAAAACATAACTGAAAGAAGAGTAGTTTTATGATTTGGGTGCATTTTTGTGTTTATACCGGGCCAAGTCCTGGTACAGGTGTTCAACAAATGAGACTTAATTCAACCAAAAATCCAGCCAGCCAACCAAATAAACAGAACAACACACAACCAACCCAGGAAGGGGAGGGTGCTGAAAAGGGGATGAGAAGAGAGGAAAAAATGAGAAAGATGTCTTTTTTTTTTTTTCTGAATTAGAATTCACTTTCAGGTAACTCATGTGAAAAGTGGTGCTCTGAATAAAATTAATTCTGTATTTGTTGCCTGTGCTTATCAAAGTTTTTTTTTTTTTTTTAACTGCAGAAACTCTTAAACCATAACACTCAATTTGGAGTAGTGGAAGGTAATTATCAGGCACCCAAATAACTTTTAAAGATCAGGAACAGAGGCATTTAGATGTTTGTAGGTGGTGGTCTAGCCTAAAAGCATTTCTACAAAAAGTTCTAACTAAATGACTTTTCTTTGGAGGTTAATAAATTTAAAATTCATACACCGATCTGTCCAAATAGTTTGTTAAATGCTTCTGTTTATTTGGAACATTTAGTGTTACCACCTACTGCACAGAGTGACTAGAGATTTTCTATTTCTGGGTGACCTGGGACTAGATCACATGTCAAATGTACAAAGTTTCCTAATAGTTGGGATTACATCTTCTGAAGTCATCCTATTTTAACCAAATTTTTAAAATTTCACCGGTGAATCTGTGAAACAAAACACGATGTTCAAAAAAAGAATAGTACATTTTTGAAAGCTGTGATTTTAAACAGTTGTTAATGTTTTTAAAAAAGCACTAGAGGTATTTTTAAAAATAGATCTCTTCCATCAGAACTGATTTGTTTCTGTTGTTAAAAATATCATCAAAGTTTTTAATAAAATGCATTTGTAAAAAAAAAAAAAAGAAACACGTTATTTTATAGAAAAGTACGGCCGGATTTTATTGTTGGAGAACCAGGAATGAACAAGTGAAAAGGTTTACAAAGTTGTTTTTTTTTTCCCAAAGTCTCCCCCAAACGGAAATGTTGCAGGCAAATAAATACATGTGTATTATATTGAGTATAATAATGACCAATGTATGTATTAAGAACTTAAGCATTTGTTTTGTATTAAGTAAAATCCTTACAGGTATAAAGAAGACTATTATGTTAATAAAAAAGATGAAGAAAGTACCTGTTTGCAAAGTTTCCTATTTTACGTAGTAGGAAACTGTGCAAAACAAATAATGCTTTACTTTCTGGTGAATGAATCTGTAGATGCTGGAAACAATAGTGAGACTATTCTAAGACGCCATTGACTGTCAATCCATGAAAAAAATATACAAGTGTCTTCTGAAGAGCGCAAAGGCTTGTCGGTCAGAGAGAGTTTAACCTTTTGGAAGTTTCTGGTTCTACAAAGAGGAACTTCACTGTAAGAGGATTCCCACACCAGTGGGTGGAAATAAAATGGGTGACAAGTTTCTTTTTAAGGAATATTCTCAAAATACGTTTGAATGAGAGAAGTGGGCACTGTTTGCATTTTGGCTTCTCAGGAAATTCTGGCAGCAGTCGAGTAGAACAGGCAAAAGAAAAATAGGTATTCAATGCATCTGTCACATGTATGCCACTCCGTCTTCAATTTTCTCTTTTCTTTAGTCCTAGCTCACTAGCTCCGGGTCCCCATCCTTCTGAAGCTCTAAGAAATGATATCCTTAAGTCTCATCAGCTAACTTCTCAATAGATTTTTGTTTAATGCGTGTTCTAAAATTGCTCACAACTTCGATTACATTCTCATAAATAAACTGTAGGCACCCACTGCCGTGATTGTATCGATTTTTACTTTGTTGGGATATTAAGACTACTTCGGTCCGATTCCTCCACGTGGCTGCGCAGAGAGAAGACTGGGCGTCCTAAGCCGGGAGAACTCTCTAGGTCAGCCTCCGCCCTCGTTCTCTGCTCTGCAGCCCCGGCCTGTCCTGGCCACAACTGTGAGAAGCATCCCTGTTCCATCTTTTATGTTGAAGGGGTTTTATTATTTTGTCCTTGAAGTTGGAACTGGGGCTTCTCATCTGTCTAAAACCAGCATTCATTCCCCACCCTATCTGAACGGCCTTGTTGGCGGACGGGATGATAAAACGTGACATAACTGGTACGATTCTGCTATCGGTGTTATTGCCCCCGCTTAGCCCCACCGTGAGAGCAGAGCCACACAGCCCTCGCGGACTGTTTCAGAGGAGACCACAACTTAAATGATGTTTAAAAATAGCAGCCAGTCTAATTCTCACGAGGACCTCTTTTCCACCTGCGAGATAAGGCTTCGCAATAATTACATTATTTAATATTTGATCAAACCTTTGAGCCACCGTGGCTTTGGGCGCCGGGCGGGCTCACAGGGCAGCGGGCGAGTGGCACGGCCTTAGCCGGGCCCCCGCACGCGCCGCGTGGCCCGGCCCCCCGCACCTGCGGCGGGGGCGGGATTGACTTGCTCTTTGAATAATTCATGGCCTGAGAGTTTTGGAAATTAATAAAATGAATGGTAGCAAGAAACTAAGAAAAAAAAAAAACTTTTGTGGTTACTATCAAGTCAGCTTGATAGGAAACGCGCTCCCTGACTCTCTGTCCCCAAATCTAGCAGTTCTGTAGGGAGGGGGGATCGGTTGGGAATGACGTCCCAACAGCGGCCAAGCGCTGCTCAAACCCTGGGAGTTATTTCGGAGGCGACCTCGTGAAGCTGCTCC